ATGGCTTGACCCCTTGGAGGCTCAGCTGCCGAGAAGGAGGCCAACGGAATAGAATGAGGCCAGTAACTCCAGCCACCTCCCGGAGTGCTGGTCCACCACATGCCAGGGAAGCATTGCATTTTCCTGCCCTCCTCCCTTGGTCCAGCCTCACTGCCTCCCCGCGCCTGCAAAGTGGGAGGGGTAGGGAATGTGGTTCTCCACCTACCACGTTTAGAGCGCTCAGATAACGTGCCTCGGATCACAGGTTCATGGTTGAGCTTGCACTAGTGTTCCCAACTCCATTTTGGACTCTGGCCCAGACCCTCTTTCCCAAGCCCGGGGCCGGGAAGCAGTCACTCTAGCGCTTCCTAATACCGGCTCGGAGACCCATGTGGGGCGGATGCGGTCAGCGATGAATCAGGTTCTTTCTTCAGAACCTCACAGTCTGGGAGGAAGAGTCCTCATTAACTCTGATACGTGGTGAAATAGGCCCTTCGCAGGTGGAAAAGGCCCTGGAGGGAGGTCTTTCAGGCCAAGGAAACAGCACAGGCCAAGTATTGAGGCTTAAGGAGCCTGCAGTGGCTGGAATGGAGGGTGGGAAGGTGCCTGGAAGCGGGCTAGCTCAAGGCTCTCTCCTTCTTGTCCCTGTGGTCATGCTTCCCAACATCCGAGCAGCTCCCAGGGGCAGGGACTGGATGTCACCTTCATTCATCCTCGAAAAAAGCCTGTGGTGTCTCCATTTGACCAATGAGAACACTGAGTTCAGAGTAGCTTTATTTCCTCTATCTGGCCCAGCACACTCTGGGCCTTGGGCTTTTACCTGGACGTCCCACCCCACCCTGGGCGGACCCACCCCTACCCTTTCATCACCACCAGCTCTCAGGACTTCCCAGGCCCTGAGCTGCTTAGCAGCCCCTGCCTAGAACCCATGGCACGTGACTCCACGTTGTGCCCTCTGGGCCGGCCCACAGCTCAAGTCCCGGTGTGTGCAGGTGGGTCTCTCTCCAGAGCAGATGCTTGGGGTAGAATGTGTGCCTCTTCACCCCCAGCTCACCCCAACCAAGTAGCACTGCTCTATTTGCAATGTGCTCGCAGAAACCCAGTCCCATTTGAATCCCTGCACACACACCGAGGGGATCATCCTCCCCACTGTACAGAAACTGAGGCTCCAAGAGGCTCAGTGACTTCTGTATCCCACGGCCACCAAGTGGCGGAACCAGGTCTGGGATTCTGCTCTTGCTCCACACAGGCTCAGGTCCTTGGCCAGCCCCAGCCTGGGGGAGGGGGAGGGCCCTGGGAATGCCAGAGTGGGCCTGCTCGCCCCAGCACTTACCGGGGTGTGACCTGGAGGAGCAATTCACTGTCTGAGCCCCAATTCTCTGACCTCTGAAATGGGGGTAAAAGTACCTAGGAGTGCTACTCACGGGGTTGGGTGGTGGTTAAAGGAGAGACTGGAAAAGAAAGAGCACCTACTGGTTGCCATTAGGTCCCGTCATGCCTGCACACAGTAGGCGCTCACCAAGTTGGGACTCAGTAATCCTGACCCAGCACGGCCGACAGCAGGGTGGCATATAGAGTTAGGCAAGGATGGATTAAGGAATTCAAGAGGATTATTTTGTAATCAGCTGAACGCCTAAGCTGCCTGGGAAATACTAGGATCAGACTGTTCATTTAATTTATTCGACAAATGACTGTTGAACACTGAGATGAGCTGGCATAGTGACGACGATGGCGAGAGGGTTCTCATTTCTACCACGTACCAGGGACTGACACAGAGTCTCATCACATCAACCCCGTAAGGTTGATATTCCCTACAAAGATTTTTTTTCCCCCTCTAATAGGGAAGGTACTAATCAGGCCTGGGACGAAGGAGAGGCAAATGAAACACCTGGAGCACAAATTTAAGGAGGCCCTTGCTGTTAGGACTCTTAGGATGCTGGCCTAATCTTGTCCCTACGTGTGCTTGTGGTGGCCACTGTGCTGCCCAGACCCCCCTCCATGAGTTGTCCTGGATGGTGCCGTCCCCTGGCAGCTCCCTGAGGGATTGCTTAGCGGCGGAGAGCTGCCTTGCCCATCGGCAGCCACGGCCCAAGCCCCCCACGGGGCTGGCCAAGGCTCTTGTTGGGTCTGCTTTGTAGCTTTCACTACTCCCATCTGCTCCAGCCCTTCCTGTCCACAGCGGCTGGTCCTTAGGGCACTCCCTAATAAACTCCTTGCAAGCTGAACAGCATCAGACCCTGCAACAGGGTTACCCCTCACTAGCTGGTTACAACACAGTCTTTCTAAAGACTTGAATATGAAGGTATTCCTGAAAAGCCCTGGCTCAGGGAGGATAAGCTAGAAACTACACTGTTCTAAGCACCTCATGTGAATTGACTTACTTCATCTCCACGGCAGCTCTGTGAAGAGGTACTATTAGCATTTCTGTCTTGTACATGATTCAAGACAAGTCTTGGGAAAAAAAAAAAAACGACTTTGTGATGAAATCCAGTCATTGTTGAAAAGATGATTCAAAATGATGGACCTTGGCCTTGGGGAAACTTTCATCTGAAAAGAAAGGAAAAAAAGATGGAAAAATGTCTTCTCTGTGCCACAACTCAGTTCCCAAACTTGAGGGAGCCTGACTCTTAACCCCGAAGACCCACGCCCGGTATGGGAGTGAAATCCACAGGCGTGAGGGCAAAAGGTTGCTTTAGGAAGTAGCCCCGGGAAGAGGTGAAAGATACACTCAGGATCCACAGGAAGTGGTGTGACCCCCGCAGGAGAACCAAGACTCAGAAAGTAAGGTGACTTGCTTGAGGTCAGGCAGCTAGTAAGAGCAGCTTCTGGAACTGGATCCCGAGGATGTCAGAATACAAGCCTCCTTTGTGCTGCCAAGAAGGACTCTCCATTCTCCAAAGAATCCTCCAAAGGGTATCAGGGATTTGGGGATCTGGGTGATTGACTGCCTCAGTTTTACCTTCTATTCGGTCCACTTGTCTTCTGTCCAACTTGTTAGGAGCCCCGCTGGGAAGGATTGGGGGCTGGAAATAGCTCAGCAGCTGGACTCCTTCTACACTGCCTTCCACCCTGCCTTAACTCTACAAAGGAGCAGGTGTTGGGTTTTCATTGTAATCCCTTCCATATGGAGAGCACTTTGGTGTTTACCAGCTGCTTGTTAACCCATCCCCGAATTTGCTCCTCACTTACTGTGTGAGGCTTGCTGCCTTGGCAGGGCAGGGATATTAGCCCCATCTTACTAGTGGGAAAACTGAGGCTCACAGAGGAGGGAATCAGGACAGTGTCCAGACGAGGGTCAGACCCTCCCATCCCAATCCAGCCCCCTGGTTTTCATCTCTGGGTTTTGGGCAAAGCTGGGGCAAACATTGCCCATTCTGAGCCCAGAGCAGTCCCTTTCCTGAAGCCTATCTGTCCTTCCTCCCCATTCTGTCTCAGAAAGCCCCATTATCTCAGGGGAGACCTTTATTCATTTGCCAAACACCTCCTGTCACCCACTCCATGCCTGTCCTGGTGGCTCCAGAGCCGACGAGGACATAGCGTACCCTGAGTGATCTCACAGGCTGTAGGGAAGAGTCCCGTTAACTAACAAGCTTGGCATTAGAGTGAAGCCCAGCCAGTGTTCCTCTCCAGAGTCTCTGAAATTTATTCCCTCCTCTCCAGCCCCACTGCCCTGTCCTAGCTGGTCCTCGGCATCTCTGACCTGGCTGCCTCCCTGCCTTCAGAACTTCTCTCCTGGCTACCCCCCACTCTCCGCCCCAAACAACCTAAGGATCTTTCCAGAGAGTCAACAGCAGAGGGTGGGCCAGGAGCTCACACTGGTGATCAGGACTGAGGACAAATCCTGCCAGGCCTCTCCTCTGCAGAATGGGGACTGTGTCTACTTCACAAAGTTGCTGCGAAGCCATTAGACCTTTGTTCCTTCTGGAGACCCCATGCACTTGTGCATGTCCTGTAGTTGTATGCTTCCTGCCTTTGAATGGGCTCTTCACTTACATGCCACCTTCTCCAAGTCCTAAGGATGGACTCATCCTTCAAGTCTCTGTTCAAATGTCACTGCCTCCCGGAAGCCTGAACGGACACACCTCCAAGCAGCTGAAACCCCTCCTTCCTCTGGGTTTGTATACCTGGCCGTCCTGTTTTCTAGCCCTTATCACTCTTACTCGTACCAAGGTGAGCTGACTTCCAGTCACCCCCTTACTTCCACCTGGAGTGTGACTCCAGGAGGGCACTGACCAGGTTGGCACAAGCCCTGGAATAAAGCCAGCACCAGTCTGTGGATAAGCATCGCTACCATTTGCTGAGGCTGCCTAGGTGTCTGACCCTGTGTGCGAAAGGCCTCACATGGCATGTGGTCCTCGTAACACCTGAGACGGGGGCCATATCTCTTGAGGAAGTAGCCTCAGAAACTGGATGGTGTCTTGGCCAAAGAGGAGATCCAGGATTCCAAGCCCGAAGTGTCTGAATCCTCAGGTACCTCCCAGCTCCCCTCTGGCCTCCATGCTGCCCCAAGCAAACAAGTGAGGGTAGCACCACCAAGCTCTCCCACCCCTCCCAGGAGCTGAGAAGTCCAACGTAGGTGCCTTTGGGTTACATTCCACCGCCAGGCAGCCTCAGCCTTCCAGATTATGATGTAACAGTTGCACAACTCACCATAGTTTTTGAAAGAAACTGTCAGTTTCCTCTCCTGGGCACTGTCAGGGGCTGTGGCTTCCATCCCACCCAGGGTCCCCAACGGCCTGAGGACTCTAAAAGCCAAATATAGCACAGGGTTGTTGGAGTGGTAAAGAAATGAAAACGGGGGTGCCTGGGTGGCTCCGTCGTTAAGTGTCTGCCTTCCGCTCGGGTCATGATCCCAGGGTCCTGGGATCGAGCCCCGCATCGGGCTCCGTGCTCCGCGGGAGGCCTGCTTCTCCCTCTCCCACTCCCCCTGCTTGTGTTCCCTCTCTCGCTGTGTCTCTCTCTCTGTCAAATAAATAAATAAATAAAATCTTAAAAAAAAAAAAAAAGAAATGAAAACGGAAGACTGTAAAGTGACCCAGTTTTATTTTGGTTTTGGAGGTCAGATGGGGCATTGCTCCACTGTACAGGGATTAGGGCTGTACAATCTTTCCCTCCCCAAGGCGGGGGCCCAGCGACCTCAGGGCCCAGGCAGCGGGGTGGAGGCCTGGTGGATGGGCGGCTCCAGGGACCCAGTGACCACAGCGGGTTGCACACGGAGAGAAGGGGTATCAGGCAGCAGCCTGCAATGGCTCAAATTGGGAGGCGGGGTAGGGGAGAATCCGAGAGGGCAGAGAATCCAAGAACCGGGAGTCCGAAAGGGGGTCCAGTCCCCTTCACTTTACCGCTGAGGCTCCGGGTCAGAGAGGTGGAGCTACACTGTCATCCTGCAGGAGGCAGGGCCTGGAGTGAGGCCAGGCGTCCCAGCCCGGGCGTCGGGCTCGGAGCACTAACCCGCTGCCTCCACCCTCACGGAGGGTGCGCGCGGGGCCCGGGCGCTTGGGGCGGACTCCGGCGGGCGGTCAGACCCCCCCTTCTCCTCTCGGGCACGCCAGGCAGGCGCCCGGCCGCGTTCAGCAGCTCACCGAGCCGGCGGGCGGCGCCGACCCCAAGTCCGCGAAGCAGTCGAACTCGCTCTGGCCCAGGAAGAGCTCCGGCAGCTCGCGCACGCGGTGCAGCCCGAGCTCGAGCTCCAGCGACGTCAGCGCCTCCTCGTCGATGAGTTCGGCGTCCATGCAGCCCAGGGCGTGCGCGGGCGGTGGCGGGGCCGGGGCGCCAGGCGCCGGCTGCAGGCACGGGGGCCCTCCCG